AAAAAGCGTCAACATGAGATAATAAACTCCACAGAGGTGGAAAATGAACACAAGGGTGATACTGGCAGTCGCTGGGCACTGCTGGGGGGCAGGGAGAAGGGTGGGAGACCCATGACAACACAAAGGGTACCTGGTCTACTACCAGGGGAAGGAGGGCCCGCCAGACCCCAGACTTCACCTGCATGCAGCCCATTTGTGTGGATAGCCCTCACATGCACCCCACATCTCTATAATAAATAAAATTAAATGTTGATGCCAGTTGCACCAAGCATGGCCTCAAGGGTCATGGCCCCTAGGGGCATTTTGCTCTACAAAGAGAAAGGTCTGTCAGTTCCAGCATTAACTCCAAGGTCACTAGGACTCGGCACAAGTACTGTGACATACATCATCCCAGGACCCTTTCTTTCCAAGTATCTGTAATTACTGTGTCTTCCCTACAAATGATGGCTAAATTCTCTCCACGAATCTGAGCTAAAAAGTAGACGGTCTCAATATTGGCACACTGTCTCAGAAGGCGGAGACTCCAGCGGGCACCGAGGATGAGCAAGAGGCTCAGGAGAGGGCTCTACCCACCTCTGGTTTTGTTACAACCAAGAGCTGGAGTGGATTCTAGGACTCATCGCTGTAGTGACGTCCAGAAAACACTCATTTCAGGGGAGGGCTTTTGTCACTCAGGACACACGTCGACTTCACTTATGAATTGGAATAGAAAAAGCCTCGATGAGCAAGAGTAAATTACTTCGTAAACCCTACGCTCTCAGTCTGAGAATGTTCTTGGGATTTAAGACTGTAACTGTACTGATCAAATGAAGGCCCCAAGAAAGCCCTGGGGCAGAACACCAAGCGACACCAAGCGCTGACCCTTTGCACCGCGACCGAAAAGAACCAGGCAGTCATGGGCTCTTGGGCCCCCTCGGGTCTCCAAACCCCAAGCCCTGATACAGAGAACAGATGTGGGGCTGTCGGAGGCAAGGCACCACGCACACCAGAGAGGCCCTGGTCAGGCCGCTCTGGGAACCAGCCCCCACCCCACTCCCCAGCAAGGAGGAAGCCGGTCTGCTCAGGCCTGCTCAGAGCAGAGGCTTCCCTTCCCATCCAAGCCAGGGCGACCGAGGCTGCTTCTGTTCACAGCCAGCAAGCGGCGCTCCTGTCCCCAGCACGCTGTTTCCCGGACTGGGGGAAGGGGTCCCTCGGGTTTTCCTGCTAGTCTTTCCCTCCCCTAGAATTCCTTCTGCAGGGCCCACCACCAAGTCCAGGGCTAGACTAACTTCTGGCTGACACATCCTGCCACGCCCTGACACAGGCAAGCCCACGGGCCAGGCACAGGCACCTGTGACGGCTCAGCTCCTCATGCCAGCCCACGCCTGCACCACTCCCATGGAGTGGTGGCTTGAGATGCTGTGCTCCCTATGCAATGACCACCATTGCCAGAGGAAAGTTGGACATCCCTGCCTCTCAAAGGAAATCTGTCGCACAAGTGTGTCAAAAACACAGATTCTGAGAACAGGTAGCTTTCAATCCTTGTCTTGCCACTTACCATCCAGCCAACATGGCTGTCCCCCAGTGTGCCGAGGCTGGGTACCTCAGTGTCCCTGCTCCCACTTCCTGGACACCCAGAGTAAAAAGGACACATCCAACAGGGTGGTGAGTGAGGCCAGCAGGAGGGCACTGGGGGCTCGAGCGTGGAGGGGGCCTCCCAGGGGGGAGCCCCGAGGACAAGTCCAGGAGGGGTATGGGTGGGCTGTTCCAGAGGGGAGGAGAGCCCCTCGTGCAAGGCCCCAGAGGGAGAGAGAAGGCGGCCCAGCACCGCTGTACCCGTCCCTTGCCAGGCCCGTCTCCTGCCCGCCCCGCACCTGCCTGTCTACCCTTGGTCCTGCCCAGAACGCTCCTCCCACAGGTCTCTGCGTGACTCAGTCCTCAATGCCCAGGTCCCCACTCAGATGCCCGGGGCCTTCACAGACTGCGCAGCGGAAGGAAATGGCTCTCAACATGGAGAACGAAGACCGGGCCGCGTCTGACTGTTCTTGCCGGGTCCAAGGCTCCTGGACTTCTGCACTGGCACGAGAGGACAATGAATGCTTGCTAACTGACCTATGTGAGCTGGCTGAGTGTCAGCTGGAGCCACACTGTCCACGTCTAAAGGCTGGGCTCAGCCGTCTTTTAGCTGTGTGACCTTGGGAAATGCATTTAACTTTTCGGTCTCGGTTCTTCTCAATTGCACCATGGGGATCACAGCACCAATGTCTCACAGGGCCACGAGGAGCACACGAGTTGACTCAGGCAATACACTGGGAACGGCACCTGTCACAGGAAGCCTCGATACACAGTGGCCACGTTGTCGGAACGACTTCCTAGGAAGCAGGGCTTGTTTTCGTGGCTTGGAGGGGGCAGGTTCTGATTTTACAATTTGGGTGGCGCTGTTACTTGAGGGAGAAAGGAGGTGCTCCGTGGGCAGGGGCTGACACCCCCAACTGCTCTCCTCTGCCTCCCTCCCGCACTGGTCATATGTGGGCCGAGGGGCACCACTCCTCAAAAACGCGCACGGCTGCAGGCCCGGCCTCCTCACCAGCTCCAACACCAACCCCAAGAAGATACTTCTAAGGTTCATGGTCTTCTGAATCTGCCCATCTCCCATGAAAGATGAGGCCTGTTTATTATTTATTTTTGAGTTAGGGTCTCACTGTATCGCCCAGGCTGGAGTGCAGCGGCACGATCATGGCTCATCGCAGCCTCGACCTCCTGGGCTCAGGTGATCCTCCCACCTCAGCCTCCCGAGTAGCTGGGACTACAGACATGCGCCACTGGGCCTGGCTAAGGAAGGAGGCCTATCTAGAGGGCACTGAGATTGTAGGGGAAAGTGACTGGTCTTAGGAATGTGGGTCTTAAGAGAAAAAGAGAGCGCAAAGTAATCATAAAGAGGAGAGAATTCTGACAGAATGCCACCGTGAGTGTTGAAAAGGGAAGTAAAAAGTAGACACTGAGGCTGGGCGTGGTGGTTCACACCTGTCATCCCAGCACTTTGGGAAGCTGAGGCAGGAGAATTGTTTGAGACCAGCCTACACAATGCAGTGAAACCTCATTTCGGCAAAAAACACAAAAATTAGCTGAGTGTGATGGTGCACACCTGTAGTCCAGCTATTCAGGAGGCTGAGCCGAGAGGGTAGAGACTGCAGGGAGCTGTGATCATGCCACTGCTCTCCAGCACGGGTGACAGAGAGACACTGACTCAAAAACAGAAGTGGACGCTGAAACAAGTAAACGTCAACCCCCCAAATTAATCAAAATATGCAATACGCCCAGAAAGCCGGGCCCTTCTCAAATTCCGCTATGCAATTTTAGCTTGGACTGTGTGTTTGCCCATCTCTGGTCTCCCAGAATTGGGCAGAGACTCTGGCCTCTGGAAGGAGAGAAGGCATAAACTGCAGTGCCTGGCCACTCTCCTCTCCTGAGCACTGGATGAAGGTGGCCACAGTCATCCGGAACAAAGTGCCCCAGCATCAGGGCCCAAGTGTGGAAAAAGATGTCGGCACCGAATGGCAGGACAGAAGCTGGTTCTGGGCGAGGACGAGGGAAGTGGCAGGGCGTCGGTCAGAAGGGCCCACAAGCAGAGGTTGCCCTCAGGAGACATAGTTCCCACGGCCTCACACGCAAAGCACGCACATGCCGGCAGCAGGCATCATCTGGGAGCGGGTCAGGAGTGGAGACCCAGAGCCTGCGTTGTAAGAAGACGTCCGGAGACCCAGGCACAGGTGAGCTGAGGAGCTGTGCTCGGCAGGAAGGGGCGCACCGGGCACCTCCCAGACCGCCAGAAACTCAGAGAGGAGAGAAGGCCCCCGCTGGGTGTCCGAGCCAGGCAGGGAGTCAGAGTCGCCCTGGAGGCTGCCCTGTGCAGCGTCCTTCCTCTTCACAATCTTGGGTGACTGTAACAAGTGCCCTATGCTGAGGGCCGCTGCTTCAGGACAAAGTTGAGGTCTGGTCTTGAAAGACAGAGAAGGGCTCTCTGCTTCCTGACCCACGTGTTTGGGGGAAATGCCATGACTGGGGGGCAGTGGGGCATTTAAAATGAAGCCCTGGCACTAGGAGACACGTGGCTGATCACCTACCAGCAACTTCACTGCACTTTTAAACCAAACAGTGAAAAACAAATCACTTCCTACTAAATACAACAGTGCTAGAGTCAACTATTTTTTTGTAATGACATTTGGCTTTTTGGACATTGAGGAACTTATTTATGAAAAAAAAAATTAAAATTTTGTATCTCATATGTTTCTACCCCAGGGTAACGTGTGAAACAGTCACCGACGTGCAGGTTCATGGATGCATGTTGTGCAGTAGGAATTTGGGTGACATCTTCCAACTGGTGGCGTTCTATTTGAGCAGACAGTACAGTCTTGTGTTCTACCTTGCACATCAATCATGTGCAATTTACTGTCCAGTCTATGCACCATTGTGAAAGCACTTCACACATTCTCTTTGTATGTAACGCCAGCTGATTTCTTTCATATATCTCTCAGTATACAGTTAATCTCTTTATTCACCTTTTTGTGCAACTTGAATGGAAAACTTCCAGGAAACATACATTTCTGAAAACTCTGTGCTGGCATAAGTTTGTCCTGTACAATCACCAGCAATCTCTTTACGTCCCCCGAGAGGGGACATCTGAGTGGTTTGCTAGATTCCCGAGTGCAAAGGGTTAAAAAGAAACTGCAGAGCCAAGGCTCATACACAGACAGAGAGCTGTGTGCTGGTCAGATGTTATCCCCCGCCTCCAAGAGAGGCCCGGTCATTGCCTCTCCTGGCATACATGCCCGCAGTTCGGCACCTACCTTGCTCGTCTGATTCGGTTTGATCCCAGGCCCTCGGACCAACAGCGGAACCTTGATGTCGAACTCATACAGCTGCCTTTTGTCTATTGGCAACGAAAACTGTCCTGAAAACAAAGCACCCGGTGGGTCAAGACAGTGCCAAGACGGAGGCGCTGCGCACACATGGCTTCATCCAAGCACTTCACCGTAAGGGCGAAGGCGGCTCTGTTCTACTAATTCTCGTGTTTCGGAAAAGCGCCACTGAGACTGGTCTCTCACTGCTCTAAATGACTGGAAGGGATTCTCTGGTCTCTGATTGGACAAACAGGGCACAAATAATGGCCGGAAAGTTCCAAAATACAAAGATTGGAAGAGTGATGCACGATGGTTGACTGACCGCAGCTGAGGGAAGTGATGACTCCCAAACTGCCAAGTAAAGGAGTGTTCGACACTCCTCTCGCCTTTCCTGAACGAGTCGCACTTCAGGACAACTGCATAATGATGTGACGAATTCGTCCCTGAATTCCAGCTAATTAACACACACAAAAGGACTATGAATCAACCTTTTGCAATTTCTTTTTCTTTAGAGACAGGGTCTCTTGCTCTGTCGTCCAGGCTGGAGTGCAGTGGTGTGATCACAGCTCACTGCAGCCTCAAACTCCTTGACTCAAGCAATCCTCCTGCCTCAGCCTCCCCAAGTAGCTGGGACAATAAATGTGTGCCACTATGCCTTGCTAATTTTTTTTATTTTTTTGGTAGAGATAGGGTCTCACTATGTTGCCTAGGCTGGTCTTAAACTGCTAGCCTCAAGAGATCCTCCTGCTTTGGCCTCCCAAAGAGCTGGGATTACAGGTATGACCCACTGTGCCTGGTAGCATTTTGCAATTTCTGAGGGAATAATGAATTTAAGCAATAATCATCAATGGAACAACAGAAAGGCTCCCAGGAAGGGCTCGAGCTGAAACCACCTGAGCATCAATCAACACGAGCGTCCAAAGAGGGACAGTCAGACACTGCAGGCTGCAAGACTTGAAGCTACAGGAAGTACCTGGCAGAGTCACTGGGAAACATTCTTGCTTGGCACTGATTTCTATCGTGCCCCTGATCTAACTACCAACCTAGGAAACGCTGAGTAGAGATGAACAACCTAAGGTGTCACAAGATAGCCGTTAGCCACAGAGTGTGAGATGTCCTCAAGGAAAAAGACCCCTCTTCCCAGTAGCTTAGTGGCAAATGACAAACTCGGGAGACACAGGGACTATAGGTGGTGAGTCCGCTTGGGCTGCATCTTGGCCGGTGACCTAATATGGTAACTGGTAGGTGCACAGTCAGGTGTGGATGCGGGCAGTCATGTGTCTGGGTCCGATTCAGAACCTTCCAGTAACAAGGGAAAGCCTGGGAGGCGGGAAGCATCGATACACGGGAAGCGTCCAATGGCTGGTCACAGGCCACAGAGCATGAGCCAGGTGGCGGGGGTATTTCCTGAGCTCTACTCGAGCACTTCGCACTTTCACAGACACAGTGAATGCAGTCAGCCTGCTCTTGTGCCAGCAAGCCTCGGGTTAGTCCTTCTCACATGGAAGCTCAGCGAGGAAAGAAGGAAACACCGGCTGTGACCACAAGGTCCCAGTAAGAGGCCTGAAGTCAAGGATGAGGGCTGACTCACGGCCGTTTTGAAAACATAACATCCCCCAAAAACTAATTCCACGATTTGGCAAGGAAGTTCTTCCCCCAAGACAGCCTTCTCTGGTCTTCCCATCTAGACTGGGACCCCATGGCCCACCCAGCCTGCGAGGCTCACCCTCTGCTCCGGCTCCCAGAGCACCTCAACATCCAGCATGAGAGGCCGCAACCATGATACCTGGCTTCTCCTCGTGGGAACCATGCAGCCCTCCAGGCGGAGAGGCCCCAGAAAGACCCTCGCTCAGGCCCGTCCACAGCTATGGCAGGACTAGAACTCCCTGCCAGGGCTGCCAACCGTGTGGAAAGGCAGGATGGGCCTGGAGGGCCCACGGCACGCGGGCCTCTGCTCACCTGTGTGGTAGCCGTTGTCCGAGGTGTAAAAGACATAGGTATTGTTGAGCTCCCCGGTGGACGCCAGCCTCTTGATCAGCTTCTCCACAAGGTCGTCCACTGAGAGCAGCGTCTGCCACCTGGACATGCGCGGGCACAAGAAAGAGCTCAGGCGTGCCGCCTTCTTGCCGAAACAGGCAGAAACAAGATGCTCAACCACTGTCCCCAAAGGGAAATCCCGTCTTCCTTCCCCGGATCTCCCCCTTGCAAAACAGATTAGAAAACTTCAGAACATAATCCACTCAGTCCTGAGTTAAGTGTTTCCCAGGAAGCAGATGAGGCTTTACGAACCAGTGCACTTTATTTTTGGTATTGCCACTCGCAGTGAGAAAAGAGGCAATCAGGGGGAAGGCTGCTGGGTCAGTACTGATTCTGGCAGGCGAATCCAGACAGGCTCATGCCACACAAGAGCTTCAGAGTCTAAATCAGGGTCGGCAAACAGCAGTTCATGGGCCAAGCTTGCCGCCGTCTGGTCTTAAAAACTTTCACTGAGACTGGGCTTGGTGGCTCAGCCTGTCATCCCAGCACTTTGGGAGGCCGAGGTGAGTGGATTGCCTGAGCCCGTGGGTCCAAGGCCAGCCCAGGCAACTTGGCGAGACCACGTCTCTACAATAAACCAAAAAAAGTTTTACTGAAATAAGTCATGGCCACTCATTTCCAGATCTCCTAGGGCTGCTGTGTGCTCCCACAGCAGTGGGAGGAATGTGTGACCCAAGTCTGTGCTACTTACTTTAGGGGCATTTACAGAAAAAAGACAGTTTGCACCTGGGCTAAACCAAATATGCCCTAGGAAAAAGTAATGGATTTAAAAATTGACTTAAGTGAACATCTTGAAAATTCCTAAAAGCAAAGGCACACATTTTGCTTTAGTCTAAGTCCTTGGGTTGTTTGTCCAGTATGTGGGCTGATCTCTACACCAAGTGGCCTTTTCTTTAAGCCAAGGAAAACAAAACCCTTCCAAACGGCTTGAGTTTGCAGCACTCTTCGCAGGTCCTAAGACAGGTGGGGCAAAGGCCCCCCACACCCGGAGGGCACAGGAGCCCCCCTGCTTCTGAGGCAGCCACTGCCCCATCTGGCGTCTTGCCTACTGACGTTCTGTTTCCAAGACCGCAATGCAGCACAGTCCCCTCTGCGTGAGGGGACTTGGGGTCCTCAGGGCCACACCCGTGGAGGAAGCAGAAGCAGCTCTTACCTCTTCCTAAACGCGCTGTCTAAAAACTGGATTGAAGAATTGGTCATTGGTGTCTTGGCTTGCCTGATTAGCCAGTGTTTGTTCTAAAACCCAGAGGAAAAGCACGTTAGCACCACATCACCACAGCCAAAGAAACTTCCAGAGTGCTGGAGTGGAGCGTAACAGAACCACTTCATTCCTGCTCTACCAGAAAGGAACGGCTGGAATCTGACTGGGCAGCCTGGGCCCTCGTCTCCCTGCCCTGTTTCCCGACAGTAGAGATCTCTGCAGATGAACTCTGGCCCTGTCCCTGGCTTCCCAGTGCCCCCAAGTCAGAGAGGCCTTGGCTCCTGGGACAGAGGCATTCGTGAGAGATGTCCGAGAGGTCACCGAGGGTTTTTGTAGCTCTGATCTTGGGTTTTTGGTCTAACGGGTAAATGCTGCTTGACTCTCCTCTAAGTTATGTCTCACAAGTCATCCTTCCTTCATCCTCTGCTTCCCTATCCAGACTGACCACCCTGAGATCTTTGAGAAAAGTCCCAACACCACGGTTTCCTAAAACTGCAAGTCTAAACCTGGGGGATCCTTCCATTTAAATAAAAAAGCTATTTATTTATTTAGAGACGGAGCCTTGCTCTGTTGCCCAGGCTGGTCTCAAACTCCCGGGCTCAAGCTATCTTCCTGACTCAGTCTCCTGCATCCCTGGGATTACAGGTGTGCACCACCACGCCTGGCTCAAAAAGCTATGTTTTCAAAACAAAAGCATTTCCATACACTGTTAATTCCCTCCCCACTATACATGAAACCCTAAGCCGCCACTTCCAAAGTCCGCTCCTCAAGGTGCCCTTGAGTTGGTAAGTTTCAGGAAGGCCACACGGCACGTCCTCCTGCTGGGCAGGCACCCTGGCCCATGGCTGACGCCGAGAGGCCTGCAGCAGAGCGGCCTAGCCCAGAGTTTCCACATCTCCCTGGGGAGGGGAGCTTGTGCCACCTTCTTCGGGAACACAGGCTGAGAACGGCGCTCTCACTCAGAACCCAGCTCACTCAGCTGCAAGGGTGTATTTAACAGGCACGCCCTATGGCACGCCAGGCACATGCTAGAAGCCTGTGTGCACTTCAGTCCATCCAGGAGCCACATGGGGGACCTGGATGCCCCTTGGACAGGAAGATGGAATTGAGCGTCCTGCTCACGGCCGGGCCCATGAGCTGGAGAAGCTGCGCCGGGTCTGACTGCAAGACACTCTCCGGCTACAGCCTCGCAAGTGAGGTCGGCTCCCGGGCAGCAGCTGAGACCGCCTGCCCTTGAGCTGGGAGCTGTCTGCACCCCGGGCCCAGGGAAGCAGACAGGACCAGCACACAAGCCGAGTGTCTGGCCCTTTTTTGTGCACCTTCCCTGCCCACCCACACTGCGCCATGCCAGCCCTGCTGCCTGAGCCCCAGCTAGTGGAGGTCACGCGGGCAGGTCGCGGAAGGCCCTGCTTAGTCCCCAGGAACATGTCCCAGCCACCGCCAGGAGACAGGAGAGGTGGCACAAAGGCTCCCAGGAGAGCCTGGGCGACTCCCGTCGGCAGAAGAAGGCATGCCTTTGCCATCCTCTGTGACCTCCCAGCCGCTTACCGGAAGCGTGGCAGAAGGCTGACCTGTTCTTGGGAAGTAGTTTACACTATCTGTTGGAGGGACAGGTGCAATCACCTCTAGAGGGTGGGGAGGGGAACCCACCACTGGCCCAAAGGCCTCCTGACAAGTGGACAAGTCAGTGACACCGAGTGCGGCTGGACCAAGGACGGGACTCTACCGTTCCATGGACGTTGAAGTTCTTGCTTCTCGGCGCGAAGACATTCTGGAAAGCCTTCTGGTATTGAGGTGCAGCTGTCCACGGCGAGTGGGGTGCAGGAGGGGCAATCATCATGAAGAAGGGTTCGGAGTTGGACTTGTAGTCCAGGAAGTCCAAGGAGACATTGGCCTGAAACACACAAGCATCCGTCATCCCCCGGCCCACCCACAGTCGAGCGCGAGACAGACACAGGTCCCCAGGCGTGGCAAGCATAGGGTCACGGCAGCTTCTACTCAGTCCTAGCAAGTGACCTCATGCCACAGCCAACTGCAAGTACATTGTTGGAACAATCTATCTGGTGATTAGGCAATACTTTAAATAAAAAACTGAAACGCATACTATTGTAAGAAAGCAATCACGATCCTGATGGCTTTACATGACCCAGCAACTGCTCCCATCTCCCCCAAGGAGAGAAACTGTAATTTGGCCATTTCAGTATGAACTTACATGAATGGGGACCTTAGCGTATGCACATTTGATGCCCCTACAAAGTGTAAAAAAGGGAGCCCACCCAATCCGGAACAGCGGGAAGGGTGGGTTACGTTCCCTTAACCTTGGGAAAACATGCAGAAAGTAGGTGTCCGACTGCGCCCCTGAAGTGGCCAAGCTAAGTGAGTGACGGTAAATCCCACCGCATTCCACCAGGCTTTGGTTTCTATGGACTCACATTTTTCATGTGCTTATCAGGAGATACTCTGAATTTTCACCCTTCTAGCTGGTTTGTGTCTTATTTCCAAAACAAGCTCAAAAAAGACCGACTGCATCTATTTCCCATCTCCCTCCTACACTCCCCCACCCCACTCACCCCGTGCTGTCAACATCCTTGTGCCTCTGCCTGCGGCCCCTCCCCTCCTCCGATCAGCTCCCCAAGCCTCCTGCAGGTTTCTACTCCCACATCACCCAACTCCCTCCATGCCTGACTTCTCCAACTTGTCACTGACATGAGGCCACAAAGAGCATGTGCAGATACACACACACACACACACACACACACACACACACACACACAGCGCACATCAAAGCTGCCACTGGAGAATCAGCTTCCGCAGAATCAGGGACTCTGCTTCGTTCACTGCTGGACACCTGCGACATGTGGTGCTGAGCTGCTCAGTGAACGAACGTGCTCTAGATACAGCTACCGCAGTGTTCAGGCCAGGAAGGGCCCAGTTCACCTGCCTTCAGTAACGCTTACGCATAAGCACACACGGCCCAAGAACTCCCGCGTTCCTGCCCCTGCAAGCTCATGACACAGTCGTGAACCGCCAGCTTGTGGCTTGTGAGTCCCACTGGGGGCAACGGCAGGAGCCCTGCAAAGCGAAACTTCTACAGGGGGAGTGCAGGAGACCTAGAGGGTAACCTCTGGGAAGGGGTTTGTTGCTGGACTCCAAGGGCACTGGATCTGAGTACGGCTTATGCTCCACCCCCCAGGCATTTTAATCAGCTGGAAATACTCTGCAGCAGTCAGCCCAAGTGATTACACACTGACGTCACCCAACACAGACACGGCCCTAGGCCTCCTAGGCAGAGCCTAGCAACTCACCAAAACATCAGTCAGGTAGTCCACACTGTAGTTCTCACCGTGCTTCCGGGCCTTTCCATTGATGGAGAGGGTGTAATTGTAGTACTTAGAGTTCTTCTCCTGTTAAAGAGAAGAAAGTCAAATTTGTTACAAGGTAAGCACACAAGTGGAAGTCGGAATCTAACCTGGGCTAAACTTACTCGATTTAAACAGTGCCGAGACACAAAAAAGGTAATCACTCAGGTCAACACTGTACTGGGTTTTTGGGCCAGGCTTTTTATTAAAGGCTAGCATAGCTTCAATAACATGTTCTAGTTTAAAAACCAGAAGTGGCTGAGACAGAACGGCAAACTACATTACTATACTTTGTGCAAGGCAGAAAAAACATGCCAGAAAGGAGTGAATCACAGGTGCTTAGGTTTTCCTTTAAGGAGATAAAACAGCTAACTGCAAAAGCAATTGAAGGAACGCCAGCAGCAGAGCTCAGTGAGTGAGGGACCGCTGTACATCCGTAGGGATGTGTACTGCCGCAGACCTCAGCCAACACTCACCAGGGCGTACCAGTAACTCCAGCCCAGAGGGACGTGTTCCAGGCCGCCTGCGTCCGGGGCTCCATACTGAAAAGACACAAGGAGGGACAGTCAGGGTCTGTAGCCATAAACAGGCCAGAAAGATGCAGGAGACTTCCAGAATTGCTTTCGACTAGCACCTGACGCATTTTTCCCAAACACATAAACTAGTAAAAAATAAACTCCACCAACCTAGAAACACCTAATGCGGGAGTGGCAACCTCGGCCAGGGACCGAAACTGGCCTGACAGCCATTTTGGATGGCCACAGAGCCACACATTCTTAAAAACTATTTACAAATATACAAACCAATCGAAAGAAGAATGTTTTGTGAAATGAAACTCAAGTTTCAGTGACGTAAAGCAAGCTCTTCTAGAACGTGGCCCCGCTCATTCATTCAGCAGAGTCCGCGGCTGCATCCCAAAGCCGAAACTTTCTGAGGCGACATGGTGCTCAAGAGAAAGGCTCACTGGAGAGGGTTTGGACTACACCGCGCAGCCAGCCGATGGAAAGCAAAGGCCCTTGCCGAGAAGACCCGTGACCTGAAGCACCTATGGTCCAGGCACTTGGGATGACACAGCCTCACCCTGTACTGCGGCTGTCCTGCTATGAAGTCTACTTTCAGGGCTCAGTTTACCCAATGAGATTGACCAGGTAGAGACCACAGAATGAGAGAGGCCCCAATTCCTGGGTGGAGGGGAGGATTCACAGAAAATTCTGGTCAGACGTTAAACTCTCCAGCAACCACGGAGAAAGCGTGAGGAAAGGGACATTCTCTTTGTCTCCAAGCACCAGTTTCACCAAAGCTCATTCCACACACAGCATTTCCTTTAAGCTTGAACTCTGAGCAAAAGCAAAGGCCAAGGTGGTGAACTTGGGTCTGTGAAATCTGGCCTGACAGGGCACAGTGAGGCCTTCCTCCCTCCACTTGAGGCCAGCACACCAGCCACACAGCCACAGGTTTGGATGACCTGTGGGTTCCAGGGATATTCCCTCTCTCTCTCTCCTGGACTCAGGCGATCCTTCTGCCTCAGACTCCCGAGTAGCTGGGACTACAGGTGCATGTCACCATGCCTGGCTAAATTTTAATTTTTGTAGAGACGAGGTCTCACTATGTTGCCCAGGCTGGTCTCGAACTCTCTTATCACGAACTGCTCCACAGAACTTCTGCTCTTCAGGCTGTAAGATGAGTGAAGCACTGAGCTGTCATAATTCAGAAAAGAGTCTAAGAAACCTGAGGAAAAAGCTAAGAGGAACATTTCTCACTCTGACCCCCACAGAGGCGATATGCACATAGACACCACAAAAGTCACAAACAAGCAGAACCCACTGGAAGAATGGAAGGGCACAGCACAAGGCAGCAGTCTTAGGACACTTTTTTTCTTTCTTTATTTTTTTGAGTTGGAGTCTCACTCTGTCGCCCAGACTGGAGTGCAGTGGCCGCTCCCGGCCACCGCAGCCTCGACCTGTTGGGCTCCGGTGATCCTTCCGCCTCAGCCTTCCGCCTCACCGGAATTACAGGCATGCGCTACCATGCCCGGCTGATTTTTTTGATTTATTGTAGAGATGAGGTCTTGCTGCCCAGGCGGATCTCGAACCCGCTCCCAAAGGCGCAGGATTACAGGCTGAGCCACCGAGCCCGGCGTCACTTTTGGTTTTTTTTTTGAGTCAGAGTCTCACCCCATTGCCCAGGCTGGAGTGCAGTGGCACGCTCATGGCCCTAGCGTCGACTCGCTGGGCTCTGGTGATCCTTCTGCCTCAGTCTTCCAAGTAGCCTGAACTACAGGCACACACTACCACACCTGGCTAATTTTTGATTTACTGTAGTAGAGGTGAGGTCTTGCCAAGTTGCCCGGGCTGGTCTCAAACTCGTGGGCTCAGCTCAGGCAATCCTCTCACCTTGGACTCCCAAAGTGCTGGGATAACAGGCTGAGCCACCAAGCCTGGCCAGAACATTTTTACACAGATGCTCCCCAGGCTGCTGAAAGAGTCACCACGGTGCCCAAATCATGTCCACAGGTTCATGAGAGGTGTCTGATGGCCAGATTTGGAGGAAACAACATATACCAAAACACTCTGAACCACGAACTCCTACCATGGAAAAAACAATCGCATTCATTCACCTTTAAAAAGAGGTTACAAGTACATGAAACAGATAGCTCAACATACCTCATTCAGGTACTTCCCTGCGAAAAAGGTCTGATAACCGCACGCTGAGCGGAGAATTGCTGGGAAGGTGTTTGGCTCCTGGATCTTCTGCCAGGACCGGCTGCTGCAGTTTCCCTCCAGGGTGTTGTTGACCACGTGGTGGTTATGCGGGTACTTCCCCGTCAGGATGCTGGCTCTGCTAGGGCAGCAGAGGGCACTCGGCACGTACTGGCAGGGAACAGAGGCAGGCAGACTCAGTCACATGGAAGGAGGCTCCCTCCCCTCCAAGAGGGTGCGGGGAGCTGCTCGAGGCCCAGCTCAGAGGGCGGGCTTCTCACGCAAGAGAGACTTTCACTACACATCAGTCTTCTGAGCTGCTTTGAGTCACACGGTGGTGACATTAATGCACAGAATACAAAGGGATGGTTTCTTTACCAGCTGGTTTCTTTCTGCAGGAGAACGGGAGTTCTCGTCTCATCTGCCAAAGAAATAACATGCAAGGGGCATGGCAGGAGCTGGGTCTTCACCAAAGTTAAAGAATGCTGCTTTAAGCTGGGCTCGGTGGCTCAGCCTGTAATCCCATGCCTTTGGGAGGCTGAGGTGAGTGGATTGCCTGAGCCCGCGGGTTCAAGACCCACCCGGGCAACTTGGCAAGACCTCATCTCTACAATAAATAAAAAATTAGCCAGGTATGGTAGTGCATGCCTGTAGTTCCGGCTACTTGGAAGGCTGAGGCAGAAGGATTGCCGGAGCCTAGCAGGTTGAGGTTGCAGTGACCGGGAGTGTGCCACTGTACTCCAGTCTGGGCAATAGAGTGAGACTAAACCCCTTCCCTCCCAAAAAAAAGAATTAAGGACTCAGTCATGTGACCAATACTTCCTACTCTTACACTTGCCTTATCATTTTACCAGGTGTTTGGTTTTCAAAACTTTCATACTGGCAACTCCTATTTCGTCCTCTTTTTGTTTTCTGATCAGTTTTCTGGCCAGCACATACTGTATGCTGTATCTTCATATGAGATTTTCATACCTAGTAGGGCAGCTTCGTCCTTTAGGAAAACTGCCTTGATTGTTCTACGCTATTTATTACTCCAGATAGCTTTTGGAATCACTTGAGTCTAAAAAAATCTTGTAAGGATTCCAACTAGAGAAAGTATTTTATAATAGGTATCTTCCCATATAAAATAATGTGCATATCTACGAATCAAGTATTTTTATTTTGTTACTCACAAAGCAACTTAATTTGTACCTAAGTTTATATAGGACTTAGCCTTTTCCGGCCCCCACTAGTTAGTCCCATAGAATTTCTATTTTGTTGCTATTATAAATGGGGTCTTTTCTCTGTTCCTTCTATATCTCTGGTTATATGGAAGAAAATGATTATTTAACTTTTAAATAATAATTTTTTTAAAAATTAGTAAGATTAATTTTTATGTTTCATCCCTACCTTACTGAATTCTATTAAATTAAAAAGTTTTCAATGATTATCCTGTGCTTCTTAGGTAGAAAATCCACACAAGTGAAAATAATAATTTTATTTTTCCAATAATTTTACCTCATCTCCTAAGCCTTGTAGCAATGACGAGCCCAGAACAACCAAGAGGCTTACCCCTGACAACGTCCTGAGTTTACCAGGAGAGGATGTTAAAATTTGAGAGCGCTTTCAAGTGTCTAGTGGGATGAACCCTCAATTCTCCTTCCTTCTACCACTCAGATGGCTCTGGTAGACTCGTCGTAGACTACACCCAGAGGCATTTTGCAAGTCAGGCACTGATGGAGTACTTGCATGGGTCAACTCCTGCAACGGGTGATCCAGAGGTAGGATTCAGTGCCTCCACTCACAAAGGAGGAAAACAAGCGCCCAAGAGGGGGATAGCTCAGGCAAGTTCACGCCGCAGGGCGTGCGCTCACACAGACGGTCTGGCCCATGAGTCTGTGCTCTTACACATGGCTCTAGGCCATTGCTCAGTGCACATCCTGATAGGAAGTTCCTGCCTGCCAGACCACCACTCATTCAGCTACAGGCTCGGCTCTGGAACACGAATGTTCATACTTGATTTTAGAACCCTGCATCTATATCTTTATATACTTACGATGTATGTACTTGGAGCTAATTGTTAGGCCTGGCGATCAGGGCTAATTGGGCTTTCACCATAGAACAGATTACATAGCATACATGTTCCATGATTCTTACAATCCACTCTCAAACCTAGAACAAACCGTGATTTTTTTTTTTTTTTGAGTTGGAGTCTCACTCCTTTGCCCAGGTTGGAGCGCAGCAGCACACACGCTCATGGCCACCCCAGCGTCGATCTGCTGGGCTCCAGTGATCCTTCCGCCTCAGCCTTCCGAGTAGCCGGAACTATAGGCGCATGCTACCACACCTGGCTGACTTTTTTTTTTTTTTTAATTTATTGTAGAGATGAGGTCTTGCCAAGCTGCCCAGGCTGTTCTCGAACCTGTGGGCTCAGGTAATCCTCTCACCTTGGTCTCCCAAAGTGCTAGGGTTACAGGCTTGAGTCACAGTACCCGGTCAAAACCATGAGGTTTTAAATACATTTCTATAGATCTGAGTTGTAGAACAGACTAGCTTGGAAATACCTGCAATTAATCTTCAACTGATAAGAAGTAATATTTCAGTTGAAAGAGTTGATATTACAGTAAATAAAATCTTTCCTTCATCAGGCATTTAACTAGAAAGAAAACCACACAGAGCACACCAGACGCCCAGAAAAGAGTTTCTTCTCGAAACATAAACACAGTCAGAATCTGAGCCGGGCTCAGTGGCTCAGCCTATAATCCTGCGCCTTTGGGAGGTTGAGGTGACTGGACTGCCTGAGCCTGCGGGTTTGAGACCTGCCTGGGCAGTGAGACCTCATCTCTACGATAAATCAAAAAATCAGCCGGGCGTGGTAGTACACGCCTGTAATTCTGGCTACTTGGAAGGCTGAGGCAGAAGGATCGCCGGAGCTCAGCAGGTAGAGGCTGTGGTGGCCGGGAGCAGCCACTGCACTCCAGTCTGGGCGACAGAGTGAGACTCCAACTCAACAAAAACAAAAACAAAAAAACAAAACAAAAACAGAATCTGGCAAACTGAAATTAGCCTCAAAACTCACCGCGCTGGAGAAAGTCATCCCCATCTCTCCGACAAGAGCCTTGGTTTTCTTCAGTGGTGTCTGTAAAGCAAGTGACTGCCTGTTAAATGGTTTCCTCTGACGAAGTGAGACACACAGACCAGAGTCCAGGCCCAGCTGCACCTTGCTCAGCCTCTGCTCCCAGAGCCAGCTCCATGAAACAGCAGGAGAGCCCTGTGCAACTCTAGAGTCGAGCCAAACAGGTCCGGCTGAGCCGGCTGCTCCCGTGCTAAGGGCCAGGCTAGCGGGTAGGGCAGGTCCACGCCGACGGCCTGTGCCAGCCCCTTGCAAGGCAGCCAGGGCAGACCTTCCCATGAATCCATCTTTAGCAGCAGGATGGAGGAGAGGGTACAAAGGGAGCCTTGGTCCTTTAAAACGGCAAGGAGATGCCACTTAGATGCTGCGAGACAGGCTAGGCCCCAGGTAGGAGCCCAACTCCAGCTCTACCCTCAGCAATGAAGCCTGGCACACCTGGTCCTCCACCCGCTCCCGGCCCGCTTCCCCAGACCTGGGCCAGGTGACAAGCAGGGGAACCCAGGGCCCCGTCAGCAACAGGCCCCTCAGAAACCAGCCTTACTCCTCATCTTCCTGTCACAACCTAAGATTCTGACAAGCGCAATTATGACCACCCTGGAGTGAGAAGCATGAAGACAGCTGGTGAGGTGCAGCTCAAGGACAGTGGTGATGGCTATTCAGATCCCAGACAGCAAAACGCACCATGAAGAACCCATTTAGGGCACTGGTTCATGATGATTCCGAAATGCCTCGGAAGTCTCAGACCATGCCACATACAGTGGTAGGTGTACTTTGCTGGCTGATAATTCCTCAAAGACTGTTAATCCACACGTATAACCAGGTTAACAAGTGCCTGATCTTCAATGAGTGACTTTTCCCCATTATTTCATTTAAACAGGAAACCCAAGGAACCCATAAGCTCAGAAGGATGAGAATCCTAACTCGCACACGAAACATGCTCTGAGAGTTTCATGAGCAGACCCGCAAGAGGCTGCAGGAGACACCAGGGACGCGCAAGGTCTTTGTAACCTTCAGGAGCAATATCACCAGCCATGCGCTTATCATGACCTCGCAGGGTGCCACCCTTGGGAAGAGATCACGAGCTACATGAGACATTGGGCTGACAAGGACCCCGAGCTGCCACGAGGACCTCAGAAGAGGAAATGAGAATTCGAAGCGGAAGTGGAAAGAAGGGCCAGGCCAGTGACCGTCCGGGACTTAATCATCACGTGTCTGATAAATATGCAGACCTACGAAAGAACATCTGACTTCCACCGAGACTATACTGTGTGGTTATAACACATTCATCCAACGCTCAGTGTGTGCCAGGTTCCAATCCAGGCAGTGGCGGACAGAGGTTTGAGCTACCGAGGCCAGTTTATAATGATCTTTAAGTAAAATCAAAAAAGGGATAAGAACAGTTCCCTAGGCAAAAAAGTAAACACAAGAGTACCACAGATGACATCTGGAACACATGCAGAGAAATGTTAACGATGACATCACGACACAAAAGACTATTTCAAAGATGGCTGGAAATTCCACACTAAGCCAAAATCATGGAAGTGCTATCTATAATCCTTTGACCTGAGTTAGTCTGGTGGAGGCAGACCACTGTCTATTTTGACAACTATAGCAGCAGTTTGTAATCTTTTTTGGTTCAATGAACTCCCTCTTTCCACAAAAACGAAGACACTACACACAGTTTTGCATGTAAAATAAGGACTTCCATGACGTCAATGGCATCCCTGATGTCACCTGAAGACTCTCTGATGCCAACATGGTGTAAGTGACGATGCCGGTGCGGGATGTGGAATGACGTCTGATGAGCCTGTACTCTCAGAGAAGAAGCATGGAGCTCTGGGATCACAAGACACCACGCTTTGCTTCTTATTCACCATATGAACCTGGGTCAACTTACTTAACCCACCCTAAGCCGCAGTTTCCTTTTACGATAAGGGTCATATGCACAGCAGAGGGTTCTGCTGATAACCCAGACAGGGTAAACTCCTCAATCCCGGCCCGGCTCCGCAAAGCTCTCCACCGCCATGGCTGCCTTGACCCTTCCTCTGGGAGTCCTGTTCCACAACTAGGGCTGGAGTATTCTGAAAAAGGCTACAAGAGAGGGCAGGATTCTTCAAAGAGTTGGGAGCATACATTCTAACTCGCTCCCTCTACTCAGTTGAGAGCCTCTCTCCAGTATAAACACCTATTTAAGAACCTGGATCTGCGGCTGGTTTAGAGAAACAAATAGGATGAACATGCTCAGGGGAAGAGCCTTCAAATATGCATGGACTACAGCTGTGGTCTATAAGCACCAAAGAAACAATTCTGAATACCTTACATTTAAGTAATGAATTTGGTTTTCCATGGGCAGGAAAGCTCGACCTTAAGTCCTTTTTAAGTCCTTTTCTGGACAAAACACTCTTCAAGAACATTATTTCTTTTTTTATAAAAAAGAAGTTTTGTCAGCAGAATAAGTGGAGCAGTTGGAATCGTGGTGAAACCAAGGTAAACTCTAGGAAGGAAACTCAATCAAGGATCTGATGTCAACATGGCTGGGTAGAAACTAAAAGGCAACGAAGGAGAGAAGGCAGGAAAAAGTGCAAAAGTGTGCCATCAAAATGCAAGGATCTTAAACAAAAGCTAGAAAAGACTCTTGTACACCTGAGCACAATCTGAGAAAGAAATGTATTCCACTTTACAAGCCAGCAACAATACACATGCATATGCCTACCTTTACCATATGTCTGTCTCTCTCTCTCTCTCTCAAACAGACGTTTTCTATTACACTCTGTTCCACAGGAAAGGAAAAAGGTGGGTAGCTACTCACTAAACTAATTTCACAACTCATTCACGAGGGGGGACCAGCAGCTTGAAGAACACTGCACTAGGGTGTCACCATACAGGAAAAGTCAGGAACCTCCTGCCTGGATGTGTCCTGGTGCCCGCACTCAGCTGGAGGCAAAAAGAGAACTGAAACGAAGAAGGCAGCAGGGCATTCATTTTTAAAACGAGGAGAGAAACGCTGGGCCCAGGATGGGAGGACTGGCAGGGCCTCGGCTAGTCACGTGCACCGGGCAAGCTGCTTTCCGGGCCTCCATAAGGAGTGGGGTGGATGTTTCCAAAGGTCAGAAATTTCTGAATTCTAAGCTAAGAGGCAAGATGAACCCTGGGGGGGGGGGGGGTTTCATGACAACTCCCACTGGACAGAAAGTGAAACACTGACAGCAAAGACTGCCACAGCCAGGTGTTCAACCAGACTTGATGAACCTTCTGAGTTCTTGCGAGGCAAGACACATCCGCAGCAGTCCAGAGCCTGACCACCAGACGGGTTCAACTCAGCGCTTTTAAAAGAAACGTCAGACACAGGCACAGGACACAGGCAGAGTACACAGGCCCCGGTCCCTCGCCAAGGGGCTGGACTTGACTCCAGAGGAAAACAATCAGGGCCTGCGCGCTCTTGGCCGGCACCTGCCGCCCATCGGCCCAACCCTCCTCCAGGGGCCTCCACGCTGATCCTGAGACGCACACTCCGCGGCAGCGCGGTCCACACCGGCGGCTCTGTCCGCGAGAGGAGGCGGGTCCTGCAGCCCCCCGCATCGGCGTCAGGGCCTCCCGGGGAGCCCACCCAGACCGAGCCCGAGCCCGGGCCCGGGCGGCCGGGGCGGGCGCGGGGGGCGGGGCGGGCGCCGAGGGTTACCATGCCGCCGAGCACTGCGTCCTGGTCGTCGGTGAGCAGCAGCACCACGTTGGGCCTCCGGGAGCCCGCCGCCTGCCCGGGGACGCCCGGGCCGCCGCCGCCCAGCAGCAGCAGCAGCAGCAGCGCGGGGTAGCAGGGGAGCAGGCTGCCATCTGTTTAGCCAGGAAGTGAGTCCTCACAACAAACTGAATGATCTTGATCTCATACATTCTAGCTCATAAAACTTTAAGAAATGTACTTTCTGATGTTCAATTACCCACTGTTTGGCATTT